TATATATATATATATATATATACTTGGTATCATGTGAGACTAGCCTGTTTTCGTGAGACCCGTGAAACCACTTTTTTACACTTGAAACTTCACAGCAAAATGCTGTGAAGGTGACTTTTTTTAACCTTCACAGTGTTTTTGCTGTGAAGTTTCAAGTGTAAAAATGTGGTCTCACGGGTCTCACTAAAACAGGCTGGTCTCACGTGAACCCAACCTTATATATATATATATATATATAAAACGTAGAACAAGCACGAGTGAACGGAAGATACAATAATGAACAATTTGGAACAGTCATTAGTTAAACGAGAGCTTTAGGGTTTGCAAAAAAAATATGTAAAAGAATCAAATAAACGAAAAGGGTTAGGAATCCGTACCTTAAACTCCATGAAGCCTCGATCAATCTTTCTCTAGAATTTGTATCCCTGTAATTAAAACAAGAATGTTCATACTAAAATAACATAACTTAATCTCACAAATTAGAAGGAATTGAATATCACAAACCTACCTCTTGTGTTCTTTTCCTTATAAAGGAGTTGATGTCATCCTTCGCCTCACACCATCCAAAATCTGTTCTTATTACCTCTAGCTTTGGAGTAGTAGACTGTCCCTTGGTGAAAACTGTCATACTTGGACATGTTTCTATTATCAAAGTATCTAATGATGGCCATTGAAAAGCCTGATCATTTCCCAAGCAAAATCCCTCAAATTTGTAAAGAAGAGAAAGTTGTAAGAATTTTAGACAAGGGAAGGAAACCACCTCGTTAGTGGCATCTCGCACTGCCTCCACAATTACCTTCAAATTGAAGCAGCCCTGTATAGAAAGTTGTTGCAGTTGGACTAAACTAGCAGCCATGCCATGAGAGAAAACATGTTCCAGCTTTTGACAATATGCAAGTGATACCCTTGTGAGGTTTGAAAGTTTGGATGGTATCCACCAATTACTCTTCCATATAACTTGTTTTTTCTTGGAAATTAGTATCACATCATCTACAGATTGTGTTTCAACATTTGTCCCATCTACTACTTCAAATACCTTTTCTGCTTCTTCAATATCTCCAACATTTTCTACGTTAAACAACTCATTGCTTGGAAATATTGCTTTACTTGAAGCCCTTGAAGCCACGTCAAAAGGACGTACATGTACTTCGACTAAGTTGGAAAAAGACCAAGGGAATTGAAGTAACTTTATTATATCTGCACCAGTCGAGCAGGTACTTGACTTACAGAGTTGACCCTATTAAGAAAAAGACATACATCGGTCAGCCACACAGATAAAAACTAAAAGAATGTTAATTAGTTGTGGAAGGCACATGTTACAACTAGAGGTTAGTAAGTAATTAATTTTATAGTTCAATGAACCAGGTAACAACAACATATTTTACCTCATGTGGTGCATTGGTCCAATCAAAGTTGAGGCCACATTCAAGACTATGTTTGCCTACACCTGTATGTATGTATTCTAGTTTCGAAGCCATCGAGCGACCAGATGTGAAAATCATCATTTGCGGACAACCGTAGATCTCAACCTTATCCAATAATGGCCACTGGAAGTCGTTCTTCCCCAAGAAGAACCCCTTGAGACTTGGTAAACCAACTAGTGTAAGGGTCGTAAGACGAGGGAAGACCACATCTTCCAATCCTATTATGTGCTCTCCATTGTCTTCCTGCTTCACAATCACTTGTATTGCAGAGCAATCACTTATCTTCAACTCCTGGAGTTTCTTAAGGCTCTCAAGTACAGAAGCTGTGAATATATATTTCAAACTATGGCATCCGGCAATATACAAGGTTTTTAGATTGGGCAATTCAAGTGAAGTCATATTTATCGGCGTTGGGATTGTAACCGTATCACCACTTCCTTCACCAATATTAGCATTGTCACCAATGTCCTCGTTGACCCCTTCAATTTCAAATATCTCCCTCATTGATGTGCACGATGTTATCACCAACTTTTCAAGCTTTGGCATATGTCCAACATCATGGGATGGAAACAAAGTTAACAAGGCATTACATGCCCGTATATCTATTGTTTTCGCGTATTGGAAAGAGGACCAATATGCTCCACCAACTTGATAACACTACAATACATGACAAAATAAATTAAGTCAATCAATTAAAATATGGTATGCGACAAGGGAATATTAACAAAGATCATAAAATATACAACTGATAGGATATTTACAGATAAATACAAAATTTGAAGTAAATAATTAAATTTTCACATGATAGTGATAAAAAACGAAACTATACCTGGGCAGAAGAAGAAGTAACGGTGGAAGTCATGAGTTCCTTGCCCCCGCAGTTGTTACCACCACCATTGATACGCTTTAGACATGATAAAACCCTAAGGTCGAGAATGTCTAAGCGCGGGAAGAAAGTGGTATTTGTGTGGCAAGATATAGACGTAGCCATTTCTTCATCTTCATCATCTATGTTAGAAACAACCTCTTCCATAGCACGACACGACTCTATTCCGATGCTAATTAAGTTGGATAGAAGTTTGGCCATGAGAGGAGAGAATAAGTACTTTATACAGTCACATGATCTAAGAGTTATGCTCGTGATATTGACGAATGAAGAAGGTTTCGGTTCTTGTTGAGAAACTAAGAATTGGTTCCAATCGTACTTCCACACATGAGTCATCCTCTTCAGACCAATTAATTCCAGATCCTTGAGGTGTGGGAGTAGTTCCGGTTGTTGATTATTCTGAGTTGTTGCCAACTTTCTACAACTTGAACTCTCTATCTTAAACACCACCTCCACCCCTTCAAAATAATGTAACTTAAGCGTATGAAGTTGATGCAAATTATGCATGAGATAAGATGGGAATGCAACATTATGAATATCATCATCCACTTCTGATATCTCTTGATTGGTTGTAACATTAATCTGCATATATTAATTCCAACAACAAATGTAATTAGCAAATTTGTTTAACAATAACTAAATTGCATCAACAATTTTATGATGAAACTGAAAGTTAGGATGACACAACATACCTCTTCATCGTTGCTTTTATTTTCTCCCCAACCATCAATGCCATCTATAGTAATCTCCTTAACTGCCCTCATGTCAAAATTTGAGGTGGTAGGTGTGAATACATTTCTTAACCTCTTGCATCTTCTTATCACTATGCATTCTACACTTTGAAAGCCAAGAATGGGGAGACTAGAGTTGACTACTCCTTTCACCGTCCAGACCTCTCTAAGTTTCCTTAATCCAATTGCTGTAATAGATCTCAAGTTGTTGTTCCCTTGCTCAATTTCATCAACACATGATCCCAAATCAATGTTGAATAACACATCAATGGAACCACATTCGGAAACTGTAAGTTGTTCCAGATGATACAACAACGACATTGGATTGCTTGGAAACAAGTTCACAAGACTATCACATTTTTTCACTTGAATCATTCTCAATTGACTAACCTCGTTACTACTCAAATATTGACTTGGCCATATCTCCTTCAACTTCTCCATCTTCATAATTGTCAAAACCTTCAACTTAGAACTCATAACCTGCATATTAATCAAATAACTACATTCAAATCAAGTAATATTGTGACTTCTATTACTAACTCAATCTACTAGAAAATTGAAGTTTATTACTATAACTTTTACGTTAACTAAAACATATGTACCTCTTTCTTTAGAAAATCTTGATAAATGCTAGTGAAATTTGGAAGGTTATCAAGTTCCAATACTTCCAGTTGTGGGAACTCAATAACGTTGCCACCCAGCTTGCACAAACTCATTAGCATTGGTAGATTAATCAAAGACAGGAACTTTAGAGCTGGAAATTTAATGACCTCAACTTCACAATTCTCATTATCTATAAGTGTTTCTAAAGCAGGGCACTCGATAATTTTGAGGTGCTCAAGCTGCTTGAGACCATTTGCCACATGGATTGTGAAGAGGTATCTTAAATGTGCACACCCACGAATATGAAGGACTCTTAAACTGAAAAATGGGCATCCAAAATGATGCAAGGATTCCCCAAAACAATCTCCAAGATCATTTATACCATCCACTTGTAAATGAAGCACCTTTGTTTTTCCAAACAAATCATTCACCCTAGAATCCAAAAGTTCACATTTTTTGGTGACCAACCATAATGTGTTCTCGAAGGAGTGTTTGTTTTGGCGAGGATGGTATTTTAATGAGCATCCCAAAGAGATCTTGAATCTTTCAAGTTTCCCAAATGACATATTCTTTGGCAAAGCATTGTCACCAAAAAACTCAATTTCTATTGCATCAAGGTTTTTCGAACACTCTACTAATTCATCACCATTGGCATGTCGTCTAACCCCTTCCATATAAAGCTCTTCAAGTTTGACCAAACTTTTCAAGACACCATCGTCAATACAAAGATTACTACAGCCTGTCAAATTAAGTAACTTTAGCTTCTTCAAATTTCCAATTGTGGATGGTAACTTTTCTATTTTGCAATCGGTAAAACTAAGCAATTCCAAGTTCAAAAGATCACCAACAGGAGAGCAATCAAACATAAATGAGCATTCATGGATACTTAGCATTCGAAGATTACTCGAGTATTGAAGTGATTTGGGAATCAATGGATAAAACATTCTTTCATACGCTATTACTTCAAGTTTCTCCATTTCTTGATAAAAGTCTTTAGGAAACGACTTCTCTCCATTCATAAGCTTCAATAACAAGAGGTTTGGATATTTACGATCTCTAGGAAACTTAGACATTCCTGTGCATGTTATTGAAATTCTTTTGCAAAACTCGCTCACAGGTTTTGCAGGCCAGTTTGACATATCACCGACAACTGAAGCATGTTCGCCTTCAGAACACATGTCCAAAACAAAAGCACGCACTAGATCGTGCATCTTGACACAACCAACTTCCTCACTTTGAATCAACAAATTTGCATGTATGAGTCGCTCAATGCATGCGTACAACCTGTTTCTTGCTTTTCGTATAGTATTCACTTTGTTAAATATTTTCAAGCCCCAACCGTACCTCACTAAGTCCTCCACAGGAGTATCGAAATCTTCGGGAAACAAACAACACAACAACAAAGTTGATCTAGTCTCTTTATCATGGAAATTTCTGTAGCTTATCTCAAAAACTTGATGCACAGCTTCATCAACATCTTTGTTCTCTATTCTAGAACGTGTATCTTCCCATACATGCTTGCTTTTACCTTTAAGAGTACGAGCTATGGTTTTGATGGCAATGGGCAGACCATGACATCTATTTGCAATATCTTCTCCTATCTCACGGAGCTCAAGATCGAGATCATCATCATTGGAAACCCTTACAAATTGGAGAAAGAAATTATATGCTTCTGAGTTCTCTATGACTTTCACATTGAGAATTGAATCAAGTTGAACTCCTATCGTAGTACAAACACCTCGGTCTCGTGATGTCAATAATACCTTAAAATCGATACCTTGATTTGGCAATGGACTTAACCCGATATCATTCAGATCAAAGAACTCCCATACATCATCTAGTAGTATAAGAAATTTCTTCTTACCATCATCAGAATGGGCCTCGAAACTTTTACGAAGCTTAATAGCTCTAGCTGCTGTAGTGGTTTCTTTTAGATCTAAACTCAGGAAGTCTGCGATAGCTTGCTGAATTAGAAGGACCTCCATCTTTTCCCCTATAGCAGCCTCAATAATAAAATCAAACAACTTCTTTTCACTTACAACTTTCTTTAGGTTTTGCATCATTATGGTCTTCCCGACTCCCCCCATCCCACATAAAGCTATCATGTGGGTTTTGTTGTCTGGTTCGAGAGCTTTAAGTGCATCCATAAACGTCGGCTCTCTTGATTTAAAGTCATTGTGATGACTTGATGGTGTAGAGGTGGAAACCTTCATGGAATCAACTTTTCCAAGAGGAATTGGATGATCAGTCCAATCAATCCTAGACTTTTCTTCTTTGAGACGGTGGATATCCTGAGTGATCTTAAAGGCTTTCCTTCCTAGCCTATGCCTAACC